AAATAAATCTAACACATCAGAAAAGAATAATAAACCCAAAGAAAATATATTCCAAAATGCTAAATGTAGTAGACTCAGAATATGAAAAAGAAGAAATAATACTACTAACTAAAAAAAAATTAAAAAATTTTTGATAAACAAAGAACAAATAACTGCAAAGCAAATCTGAAAAGGAAAACTATTAAAGACTCAAATACAAAAAAGAATAGCACCTTTAAAATGAATAGAGAAACAACCAAACAACTTAAAACATCTTTTGAAAGAATAAAAATATTTTTCAATAATAGACAAATTAGACCAATTCAAAGCAGCAACAATCATGAAAAAATACCCAAAAATGAAAGACTTACCAAAATTACCAGAAAATATATTTAGGAAACTGAAGACTCACTTCTACTGCTACAATTTAAAGTATGATGGAAATGGAAAAGCTTATTAGATAAAGATATAACAAACAAATGAATATCATGACACCATAGTAACAATAGAATTATTAATGAACAAATATAAGGATTTTTCACTGCATACTACGTACTCAATTAAATGTTAGGATTGTGCAATTAAAAAGGTTTTAAATTTGCTAATTAAAAATATTCCCTGCAATATTTAGGTATATATGTAATTTTCTAACCTAAACCAGTATTGTTATAGAGATCTTAAAGATAATACAAACAGTAAAACCTGTCAAATCTGATATTGTCAAAACCGATAACCTGTCATAACTGATAATTAAATATATCAGATAACCTGTTAAAACTAATACAAATTTGGTCCACCACGCACATCGGTTTTAACAGGTTATACTGTATATGTAAATTACGTATATAATCGGAGCTTGCTTTCCGAAACGCATTTTTCTCTTTCCTAATTTGGTTAGTCTTCTATTCACCAAATATCGGTATTTACTTATAGCTTGGAAGGGAAAATTATTCGTAGTTAGTCGGTAAGGATATAATTCTGATTTATTCGAGCCTTGTACATAATCAACTTAAGAGAAATAATTAGCAGAGACTCTGCAAAGATACCATTAAATTTTTGAGTGTAATAATAATCAACTTATTTCGAGGAATGAAAAGAATTAGCAGGGCATTTTTTTGAATCTTAGTAATAATAAACTTGGCTCTAAGCAAAAAAACAACTTTAGGTCATTGAATCTTAGTGATAATTAACTTTGTTTTGAAGAAGCAAAGGCTCTGTGCGAATGCACATCTTTAACTTTCTATTGAAAATTATTAATAATCAACTTTTTTTGAGGACAAAAATGTATTAACAGGGGATCATTATAAAAATGTTATTTTTGATTCCTTTGAATAGTAATTTACTTGTTTTGAGGAAAAAAAATGCATAACAGAGATTCTTTACGAAAACATCATTCTATCATGTAATTTTATGAAACTTCGTATGCTAATTTGATTGAGCGTTCTTTGCTAATTCAGAGAAATAAAATACTAAAATTTTTTAGAAAAAACAAGCAAAATTGTTTCAAGAATTTACTTGTCTTAAAGGTAAGCTAACCCAAAACGCACTAATTCTGATAAGAACTGTGTAAATTTTTTAATTTTGAAGATATATATATGCTGTACCTCAGATTAGAATAGGCATAAGTTTAAAATTTTATTCAGACTGGTTTGTCATTATGCGTCATACTGAAATACGTATAATAAATGTCATGATAATGTTTAATAAATTAATTAACAAATAATAAAAATTGGTTCGTTTAAAATTTCTTTACATACCATTCATGTATTTTGTATCGAACCAAGTACTACGTAATATTCATTTATTGCACGTAAAATGTTCGGTAGCTATTTTAGTAACTTCATTATATAAATTTAATTCTTTTATTTGTTTAGATTGATGATTCATTCTGCTTCATAACATTCTTTAAATATCTCAAAACCATTGCAAAATTTAACAAACAAAAGTAACAGAACATCAAGTATTACAAAGAATTGTAAAGACTTTATACAACAAAGATGTCCTTCTGCAATGATAACACAAATTAGAATACGAATCGAAGATCACGTACGTACGTAAAAATTCTTATTTCAAGATCGATCAATTTTAATATGATAAATTGATCTGATCTGATGCAACACAATATCAAATTCACGCTCATTCAAATTTCGCGCACAACATATATAATAGATTGCTATTTAAATACTTTTGGTATGAAAAAATAAATGTTCCTGCCAATCGCTTATTGTTATTATTGTAGTAAATCTAATATAATAGTCTAAATAACATCATTAGTAATATATATGTAGAAAAAGGTGTCGATTTGGGTAATAGTAATTTTTTATATTACGAAAAAAGAAAACGTCTTATACTTTGGTTGTGATGAAATAGATTTCATATGAAGTTAGACACTTTAAAATAAGGAGAGGTGTTCAGTACGTTACGTATTTGATATTGTCCCTTGATTTTGGTTTATTTATACAATATTTTAGTGCATCTTTAAAATGGATCGATTTGATAAAGTAGCTTCTCTTAATCTTTCGATTTTGAAAAAATAATTTAATTATTGACACAATACAGTATTTTATGCAATAAATTCATTAGAGTCGCAAAGATTTATTAACATCAACAATAAAATGGAGCAAGAAAAGAGCTACATACAATTTATAAGAAGACAACCAGTAAAATATTGATGTAATATTGATAAAGTAAATTGAGATGTTTGGTGAAAATTAAAACATAATAAGAACAGAAAAATAAACCAAATATATTTAATAATCGCAATAAAAGAAATAAAACAACCGTTTAAAGAACATTAAGAAAGTAAAAGATGCATCATAAAATTTAAAATAGCAACAATATAATTTGGTTAAAAAAGATAAATAGAAAGACGTATATTCAATAATAATTTGGCTGTCTTAATTATTGCATATCCTTAACATCTTGAGATTCATCTCTTGAGATTCAGACGATTTTATTTTTTTCTCCTCTAGTTCGTGTGGTTCTTGTCGAAGACCTTCTAACAGTAGAAGTCTTTTTAGGAGTTTTCGTAATAGAAGGCTTTTTAACAGCTCTAGTTTTAGAAACCCTTTTCTTATCTTTTACGGTAGGTGCCTTTTTCGTGGTCTTAGATTTAGGAACTTTCATTTTAGTTCTCTTAGAAGATTCATCAGCCTTAGACGCAGCTCGAGGTTTTTCAACTCTTTTCTTGTCAGTTTCCTTTTTAACGAGCTTGATAGTACCCATTGGACCATTAACAAATTCAAACATTCCTTTTTCGACACCCTTATTAAGTGCTTTACGAAAACTTGAATTAAAGACAGCATTATCTTCGATGTTATACG